ACACTCCCACCCCCCACCCCCCTCACCCCCGCCGGGAGCATCATCCTCCCCTAAATACACACACGCACACTCCCACCCCCGCTCGCAGGGCTCGTTTCTGCTTCTCCCCTGCTCTGCTCTGCTCTGCGCGGGGAGCACCCGTGTACCTCTCCCCCTCGCCGATTCTCGCGACTGCTGTATCTGTGTTGTTCTGATGATATCTCTGTACGCTGCGACCTGCCTTCCTCCAGCTCCTGCCTATCCAGCCTGGGAAGAAGAAAAACACGGGGGAAAGAAATATTCCATCTAGCCAGTGGCATCTTTTGCAGCCTATAGGTTGAGCAGAGGTCTTTTTACATCGTTTTCAGCTTTGCCTACAAGTGTCCAAAGATTAGAGAGACAATATTTATCAAGCAGAAATCCTTAATTATGTTTGGATGGTTTAGTGAAGTCCCCAAACCCCACAGTAGAGACTGGACTTACAGTGCAAGGCGAACGGAACAGGCTGGGAGGGAAAAGGGGAGGAGGAAGATTCATTTCTTCATTCAGAAACTGGATGAAACAACCCTGAGAAAGGAGGAACGGCTGCACTCTTTCTGTGACATTCCGGAGAAGGTCATGTTCCATTTCAGCTGGAGACACAGGACTGACTCACTCTCCTTGTGTTTCTGAAAGAAATCATTAATCTGTTCTAACTTTTTGTGTTCTTAGGGAAGAGTCTGTTTTGTGCTGTGCTCTTTTAGCCATTCACCTGCTTTGTGTTTCTACAGTGACCAGGAGCAAAGGGAAAATATTAGATCATGTCCGAGTTTTGGCTAATTTCTGCCCCGGGAGATAAAACAAATCTGCAGGCATGGGAGAGAATGAACACGGTGACATGTAAATCCAACCTGTCCAGCAACAGCAAATTCCATATTCCAGACTTAAAGGTAAGCAAGGAAGGAGTTTGGGTGTGGGTGATAGAGTAGCATTAGCCGGGACTAAAGACTTTTGGGATAAATGTGGGATTTTTCTTTTGGGATAATACGCAGAGAGTAGAAGAAGATTGCAGTCAGGGACTGAATTGTGTTCAGTCAACTGAAAATTGATTAGAGAGAAAAGAAGTCATTGTGCTTGAAGCTGACCTTCACATTGGAAGGATATATGTTTAAGGAGTGAAGATGCAGGAGCTGAGTTAAATAACTAATCTGTTGCATTCAATATACTGTTTGCTTTCAGTCATGAAAGTCATACAGCATTGTACGTCTCGGATCGCTAATGCAAAGGGAGTAGCTACGTATCTAGACCCATGCCAGTAAGACTGCTGACAGAAGAAACAGTGCTATAATGTACATTACTCCTTGGGAAATGGAGTATGTGTGTATATTCAGCTACATTACCCAACTTCATATCATCATGTAAATAGGAAGAGTATTAATCCATGATTTTTTTTAAAATATCTTTGCATTATTTAATCCTTATTTTGTAAGACCTGCACCTTATTTTTGTTTCACTTGTGGCTATGAAAAAGCCAAATATGCTGCATTAAAGTCAGTGGCGCTACCACAGATGTAGAACTTAGTTCCCTGGGCTGGTGCCATAACCCGTCACTTAATGAAGCTGCTCTTAGTGCATCCAGGATCTGGCTTTAATCCGAAAAGATTGTTAACAGTTATGACTTGAGCTATCCCAGTTACGTAAGGATGCAAGTAAAAGGGGAGCATGACTGGTTCTCAAGTAATAACCCACTGAATTGTCACACGGATCTTTCAGACCAGGAATGTTGCTTTCTGTATGTACACCTGAGATTGATATGATTTTTACCATCTATGGGTCTTACCCAGCTGGTGTTGGTGTGTTTGCTAATGTTGTAGGAAATAAAGCATTCACAGTATCTGAAGGTGCAACCAGCTCATTAGTATTTGGTTCTATGCAAAATATTTTTCTTCTCCTTCAGCTTGACCCTTAATGTTGAGCTGGCAAGATTACAAGAAAAGGTTTGGCAATATATTGAAATACCATAAACGTAAGATTATGATTGTGACGGAGTCATACAAAAAGCAGATGTTGGTCTTGCGGGAAATGGCTTTGTGAGAGCCTTAGTCTGTGGTAATAGCAAAGAATGCAGACAGAGACCCCCTTCTGAATCCATGCTGCTTCCTTGGTTTGCTCAATACATCTGATTTGTTTGCATGTTTACTGTGTGCGTTTCTAGTCACTATTTTTTCATGTAAAATATCAGTCTATGCTACTTGATGATACGGGAATGAAAACAGGAAGGAAGACACTGATGTGTAATCTTGAGACTACACATACATTTTTCCTTTATTGGAAAAGGCTGTTTATGCCCTAGGACTTGGGTAAAGGAATTGCTACTATTTTCCACTAAGTAAATAAAGTTCTGCCAAACTACTGAGTTCACACGTGCTAAACAGAAGTCGATGTCTCTAAGACTCTGCCAACAGAAGCCTTAGACAGACTTGTGCATCTTTCACCTACTTCTCATCTTTTGCACAGGTGGGGACACTGGATGCTCTTGTTGGTCTGTCAGATGAGTTGGGAAAACTTGATAGCTTTGCTGAAAGGTAAAATAGATCTTATTTACTGCCTACAAATGAGAAACAGACATTGTTTTTATGGGATGGTGTGTCCTTGTGTTCACCTTGGTCTGACTCAGTTCAGCCTGGACTACAACTGGACTAAAGTGGATAGGCTTTGTTTAACCTTTGTGTTGATTGTCATGCAGCCGTCACCAAGAACGGATTATTCCTTAAAATTTAGCTGAATTAAGTCCATGACAGTTTTGTCTGCACAGCAATCTGTTTGAGCGGCAGTGTTAGGGAAGCTGTTTCTTGAAAGGAAGCTGCTTAAAAAGCGTTGTTTTTTATAAAAAAAGAATGTCCTCCCACCCCATCCAGAAATTTAATAAAACAACATTTAGAGTATATGAAGCCCTCCCTGATCTTATCATAGAATCATAGAGTGGTTTGGGTGGGAAGGGTCTGTAAAGATCCTCTACTTCCCACCCCCCTGCCATGGGCAGGGACACCGCCCACTAGACCAGGTTGCTCAAAGCCCCATCCAGCCTGGCCTTGAACACTTCCAGGGATGAAGCATCCACAGCTTTTCTGGGCAACCTGTTCCAGTGCCTCACCACCCTCACAGTAAAGAATTTCTTCCTCATATCTAACCTAAATCTACCCTCTTCCAGTTTAAAACCATTACCCCTCGTCCTAGCACTACACTCCCTGATAAAAGAGTCTGTCCCCTTCAGATACAGGAAAGCAGCTATAAGGTCTCCCTGGAGTCTTCTCCAGGCTGAACAACCCCAACTCTTGCAGCCTGTCTTCATAGGAGAGGTGCTCCAGCCCTCTGATCATCTTTGTGGCCCTCCTCTGGACCCGCTCCAACAGGTCCATGTATTTCCTATGTTGAGGACTCCAGAGCAGTACTCCAGGTGGGGTGTCACCAGAGGAGAGCAGAGCAGAGGGGCAGAATCCCCTCCCTTGACCTGCTGGCCACACTCCTTTTGATGCAGCCCAGGATGCTGTTGGCCTTCTGGGCTGCAATCACACATTGCCGGCTCATGTTGAGCTTCTCATCCACCAATGCACCCAAGTCCTTCTCCTCAGGGCTGTTCTCAATCTATTCTCTTCCCAGCCTGTATTTGTGCTTGGGATTGCCCTGGCCCACATGCAGGACCTTGCATTTGGCCTTTGTACTTCATGAAGTTTGCACAGGTCCACCTTTCCAGCCTGTCCAGGTCCCTCTGAATGGCATCTCTTCCCTCCAGCGTTTTGACCGCACCACACAGCTTGGTGTCATCTGCAAACTTGCTGAAGGTGCACTCAATCCCACTGTCCATGTCACCAACAAAGATGTTAAACAGCACCGGTCATGGTACCAACCCCTGAGGAATGCCACTTGTCACTGCTCTCCACTTGGACATTGAGCCATTGACCGCAACTCTTTGAGTGCAAACATTATTTTCCCAAAACTTTTCTCTTGAGCTTTCTGCCCCCCTTCAATCAGATACAGGAGTTCTAAGAAATAAGTTCTGAATGAAATCTGGAGCTCTCCCTCTCCAGGCTTTTAAACTCCTCGAAAACCAGAATAATGACTCACATTGTATCAAACCTATTTATGCAAAAACTCACATGATCTTCTTGCTGATCATTGCCTAGATTGCCTTTTGGGCCAAACTGACCTGGGTGTACAAAGAATAATATAGTACAGCAAGCTGAGAAAATGCCATGTTGTAAGATACTTCATAGCACAAAGTAGACTTTGTGGTTAAGGCAGTGAAAGTACAAGCTGTTGGCGTTTTTTGGGGGCAGTTCTTTTTTGCTTTGGAAGCGTACCTCACAAATAATTGTGGTCGTGGTCATGGAGGGATGTGTTAGCTCTGAGGCTTTTTGCCTTTTTTCCCCCAGCCAGGACTGGTAAGGATTTGCTTGTCTAAATATGCTTAATACTTCCATAGATTTTGTCTGGCAGTTGCAAACACGTACGGAAACACTGATATAAACAGTTTACATCTGTGCTAGGCAGTTTGAGTGAAAATAAGTCTGCTAGAATATGTTTCTGTAGGATTATTTTTTTACTACTTCACTGGTGCTACAGCAGGGGTCTATTAGGATGATTACATTTGATGACTCTGGGTTGCACACAAAGTTGATCTTTTTAGAATCATAGATTCATAGCGTATGTCAAGTTGGAAGGGACCCATAAGGACAGAATCATAGAATCATAGAATTGCTGAGGTTGGAAGGGACCTTTAAGATCATCAAGTCCAACCATCAACCTACCCTGACAAAACCACCTCTAAACCATGTCCCTGAGTACCACATCTACCCTTTTTTAAACACCTCCAGGGATGGCAAATCCACCACCTCCCTGGGCAGCCTATTCCAATGTTTAATAACCCTTTCAGTGAAAAAAAATTTCCTAATATCCAATCTAAACCTCCCCTGACATAACTTGAGGTCGTCTCCTCTCATCCTATCACTTTTCACCAGGGAGAAGAGGCCAGCCCCCACCTCTCTACAACCTCCTTTCAGGTAGTTGTAGAGGGTGATAAGGTCTCCCTTCAGCCTCCTCTTCTCCAGGCTAAAAAATCCCAGTTCCCTCAGTTGTTCCTCATAAGGCTTGTCCTCCAGACCCCTCACCAGCTTTGTAGGCCTTCTCTGGACACGCTCCAACACCTCAATGACCTTCTTGTAGTGAGGGGCCCAAAACTGAACACAGTACTCAAGGTGGGGCCTCACCAGTGCCGAGTACAGGATCATCGAGTCCAGCTCCCTTCTCCTCATAGGAATACCTAAAACTAAACCATACTGCTTTTTTCAGGATTTTTAGCAGGACAGAGCAACTTAATGCTTAATTCATCAAGAAAACCTTCTCCATTGTGACCCTGCCAAAACAAAGTGCCCGAAATTAATTCTAAACATGTTCAGGCCTCTGGTTCATACTGCAGAGTTTCTTTGTGAAGTGGTGATGAGGCCAAATTTGGGGAGAGACAGTGCCAATACCTGCTATCTGTTCTATTGGAAGGTGTCTCAGGGCAGCAGATAGGCAAGCAACTGTGTGATTTAGGTTTGAGGGCTGCCAAAAATCAAGCAGAACTGATTTTCAGAGGGCTTAGCTAATTCCCAGCTTTGTGAAGAATTATGACTTCTGAAAGCCATCTGTAGGATCCGTGTAAGATCACAGAGGGTGATTTTAAGTGAAATGTCAGCATGAGCTTCCTAAGCTCACCGCCTCCTTCTGTTAACTTTGTCTTAACTTGACAACATGGTGCACTTGCTTATTCAGGCTGAATGCTGCTTTTTTCCACTAATTGTCCCTTTAATGCCAGTAATGACACTTACCATATGACGTGCTATCGGCACCGAGCAGAGGGGTCAGTGAGGCCCCTCCATCATAAGCTACTGCAGGAAGGACTCTTCCTATTTGTCTTGTTTGCCTATCCAGCTACGTAATCAAGAAGGATCAACGAGATTTAAAAATAAGCAAAATGCGTTAAAAGGTAAGGAAAATGCATTAGAGTAGAGTAATAGCAGAGAATAATCAACACAGATCAAGCCCCGCAAGGACGTACAAAAGCATTTTGCATTAAATGAATGCCCAGGGTTTTGAGTATAAATTGTGATTCAAGGGTTAAAATGCCAGGCACTCACACTTCTTCAAGTAAATGGCATCCCGAGGGTTACAAGCCTCTTCAAATGACCTGAGCATTTATATTCCTGCTCCTCTGAAGCAGCTACCTGCTGAACTGTTGCTAGATAAACAAAACGGCCAGTAAAGCCAGGCAGCACAAACCTGTCAGCGCTGCCTCCTGCCAGGACAGCAGAGAAGGGGCAAGAGTTTGCAGGATCTATTGTTTCCATATACTTTTATTATTTATTTACACAGGGAGGTGGAGTGTTTTTCCATGTCACCGTGTGGTAGCATGGAGCTCTCTCAAGCTGACGATGCCCTCAGCTGCTTTTACCCGAGGGTTCTCCTGAGTTCTTGGGCCGGCGGAGCATTCTGCAGTGGCCTCAGATTGCAGGGTTTCTGCTCCCTGCAGCATTTTGGAGGCCGCGCTCGTACCACCCTGTAATACACGGTATCATTTAAGTAGTGTTAAACTTTTTTTTGAAAGTAATGACATTGCAGCAATTTCAGAAGCAAAATGTGAGAGTTCTTCCAGGCCATAATAATAGGCTAAATGGAGTTATTCTCTTTACAGGTTTTTATTGCTACTTCTTGAGGCAGTTTAGCTGAAAACCTGTCCTTTTATAACACATCATTTAAGCAAGATATTTGCTCAAGGTGGGATTCATCTCATCTAAAGGCAGAAGTTTAAGGGTTGGCTGCAAATGCTGCTTGCTGCTGGATGTCACTATAGTTGATGGGACTTCTCCAGTGGTCTGATTCCCCTCACTTGCCTCAGACTTCAGTGGTACACAGGGTGCCTGTTCTGTCTTTGCATGGGGATTGTATTGGATGAGTGAATCCCTCTTGCGTTTCACAGGAGGCAAGGCAAGGCACAGAGACTAAGCCGGGACTGGAGAACATTTCTCTTGGTGCAGCATGTTCATGCCTTCTGGCCATATCCTGCTGCAGGGACCTTGGGGCGTGAGGGCTAGAAGGGGACCAAGCCTTGCCTGGGCAGCTGGGACTGCTGGGCACACGACGGTACATACCTGTCCCACCATCTATATTTATCGAGCACACACCGGAGTGTGCGTTCCTTTTCTGGGTTTGATGAAGGCGGCCCATTCATCTGTTGTCTTAGCCTGTGCTGTATCACCGTGTGATGCATCATGTTTAGTAATCGTTAAGAGCTCCCACTTTGTGTCCCTTTAATGGATAGAATCAGTTAACAAGTCACAATCTGTACAACATGTCAGAATTAGATGTTACAATATGGATGATGGGATCTAGATGTTACTTAGTCTAGTCCTGTTACATAACCTCGCGCAATTCATAGCATAAATACTTAGAATTACCACTTCAGGTTCCGATGCCTTCAGAAGTCCCATACCGGTTTCCATAGGATACCATCCAGATCTCCTTATTTACCAGGATGGCAGGATGATCTTTTCCGGATCTCTGTACAGACCCTGTTGGCAATCTAGTCCCAATTATAGTCTACCAACAGTCCTCTCACTGTTTTCCATAGGATGAACACTCCACTGGTGCTGAAATGGCTGGAGGGTCTTTTCTGGTTACCAGGATCAACGTTGGCGATGATCTAGGCTGATGATGAGGGGTCATCAGCATCAGCCCTCCATGTGAGGGCAGTCTAAGGAGACCAGAGCTAACCCTCTCCCAGCTGTCAGGTTCGTCCCCAGCTGCACCCAACCGTAACCAAAGCAGTTCAGGTTCCTTGAAAAGCTACTGGTTTATACACTTCCCTGTTATGCCCTTAGCCTCCTGCTATACTGTTCTTATCACCTGGGCTTGAGTCCTGTCTTGTTCCAAGCTCCTTTGGTCTCCCTGGACACCCTGAAGGGGCTGAAAACCAGTTGTGTCTACAAGCTGAAAACTGCAAGGCAAGTTTGAAAGCTGAAAACTGATGGGGAACCACTGTGTGGATCCCTGCACCCTCACTGCAGTCCAAGTGTGGGCAACACAGTGTTCTCCAGCAGCACTCAGCTGGCACCAGGTCCCTCAGTGGCTGCAGCCAGACGGTGGAAAACTGCGGCAGCCCTGAGAGAGCTGTGAACTAGAGTGCAATGGCGTAGATTCCTCCTACAGGCACTCTGAACTGCACCTGTCCAGGATCATGAGAAGAATGGTTTGGGTTGGAATGGACCTTTAAAGATCATCCAGTCCACCCCCCTGCCATGGGCAGGGACATCTTCCACTAGATCAGATTGCTCAAAGCCCTGTTCAACCTGACCTTGAACACTTGCAATGATGGGGCATCCACAGCTTCTCCCAGCGACTTGTTCCAGTGTCTCACCACCCCATTGTAAAGAATTTCTTCCCTATGTCCAATGTAAATCTACCCTCTTTCAGTTTAAAACTGTTGCCCCTTGTCCTGTCACTACAGGCGCTGGTAAAAAGCCTCTCTCCAGCTTTCCTATAACCCCCCTGTATATAGTGAAAGGCCGCA